TTATGTTCGTTTGGTGACTACAAGACAAGGAGTGCTAATGGCGATGAATGGTATCATGCAATGTGAGCGCCCGGGCGCCCAGCCATGTTGCATCTATCTACATCTTGAGCTAATGTAGTCGCTGGGCCGCTGTGGAAGCTACCCCAGCATCGCTCGTCCGTCCCTTGAGTTCTTTTAGTACCCTCGCTGCGATCGCGACGGCATCTTCAGGGAGACCTGTATATCGTAAGCGACTATCGCCGAAACTGCACTTCCGAAGCGCACGACTTACCAGCAACTCTCGCGACCTTCAACGCATGGCTCTCGCGATTAACACCCTTCCTCAACCGATGCACGTATGAGAACTTGCCGTCTGGCTCTTCAAGGACATCGTTGCAGTAGCAGCCCAACTTCGCAAAGTCCTTTGTCATGTCCGTGAGCGCGTGGAAGTGGGTTGCGAAAAGCGTTCGACATTGATTGACGTGGTAGAGGTGGTGGAGGCAGGCGTATCCTACCGCGATACCATCCTCGGGTGTCGTCCCACGCCCAACTTCATCCATAATGACGAAAGAGCGCGGTGTAGCCTCTTTGAGTATTTGAGCCGTCTCCAACATCTCAACCATAAAGGTGGATTGATCTTGGTACAAGTTGTCTGCTGAGCCGACGCGACTAAAGATCTTGTCGACTAGCCCGATCTCCGCGTACTCCGCTGGAACGAAAGATCCAGTCTGCGCTAGGATGGAGATGAGCGCATTCTGGCGGAGGTATGTACTTTTGCCAGCCATGTTTGGACCGGTGATGAGCCAAATGCGCTCATTGTCACCGAGTTGGCAGTCGTTGGGGGCGAACCTGCGGCCTTGTTCGCTGAGGCCGGCTTCGACGACAGGATGCCGACCACCGACGATGTTATGCGATGGCTCTGCACTCAGTATGGGTCTGATGAGATCTTTCTCCATCGCGAGTGTAGCAAAGGCGCATGCGACATCAAGCTCATCGAGCACAGCGGCGTTACGTCTAAGTTTCACAAGGTTCTGGACGACACCTTCGCGCAGCTCACCGAGAACACGTTGTTCTTCTGTTCGGATCCGGAATCGTGTCTCGTCCATTTGCGCGCCCAGTGAAGTCCACTCCGGGATCTGAAACGAGCGGGTAGACTTGCTGCTACTCAAGCTTCTTGGATAAAAGGTAGTAGCGCGAGCTGCGTCCTTGCCCTTCACGTGAGCAATGTGCGCGAGGTTCGGAGTCCACTTCAACACCAAGCTTTCTGTACCCATCTTTTGACGCATCTCTTGTTCCAGGCTTGCCTTTGCTTCTGTCATCTTGTCCAAGCTCTTGTGAAGGCGTTCAAGTGTCGTACTGGCATTGCGCTTCATGATATGAACATCTTCCCGTCCATCGGTCGCACTCTTGAAGCTCCCAGTGATCATGGTAAGTTTCGGCTGAACGCGCTTCGGTAAGCTCTTCAGATCTTCTTCTCCAGCCTCGCGACCGATCACATCCTGGGCCAAATCGGACATCTCTTCCGCCTCTTCGTTCTCCATGCGGTGGTACTCGGAGAGACCGTCTTCGTCGATCGCATGCTGTATGCGCTTTGCGAGTTCAAGCGGTTGCGCTAGATCAAATCGACGCTCTAACATCGAAATGCACTGTCGTCTTCGGGTATCCGATGTGGCTGGAGCTGTGTCGACTGGAACAGAGTTCCTCGAAGTTGCGTGCTCGTGAAGGACGTCCACTATGCTGGAGGTGACAAGGATGGTCTTCGACAGCTCCATGAGGTCATCCGCGTCGCCACGGCCATACGTGAACTTCGTCACCAATCGTAAAGAGTCGAAAGTTTGCTCCAAGAGCAAGATGATGTCCTGACGGAGCTGCGGATATTGTATGGTCTCCTCTACGAGGTCAAGTCGATCGTTGATAGTTGACAACGACATCGATGGCGCCGCTCGGATGTGTTAGCGATGGATCGGATGAACTGGTGTGCTTCTACTTACACAAGCGCTCCGTAAGCAGCCTGGTACCGCTTTTGGTGACCGTCTTCTTGAGTGCATGTAGCAAGCTTCCTTCGTAAGTACCCTCGCGAATTGTGTTTCGGATCTCTAGCGCTCTCAAACTGTTCTTGTCAATGCTCATGTACTCCTCGGCTTGATGTCGTACCGGCGCGCGCAGTCGTGTCCGTGAACCTAGCAGTTGATGCTTGACGTAATGTAACAACGAGCCTCCTGCTGCGACTTCGCCGGGAGTGAAGTTGGCCGTGTCGAAGTCTTCCACGACATCTTCCAACATCGGTATCCAGTCGTCGATAGTGAGCGGCTTTTCTGAGGGTTCCTGAAATGTGATGACATGTCCGTCTTCTTGCATGATCGAAACGATACGCGAGTGATCCTGCTCTTGAAAGATTCTGTCTAGTACAATTTCTCGGGGTTTGATACGGGCTACCGCAGACGGCAAGGACGCGATGTCTGTGCTCTGGGTGAGGAAGTCGCCACTTGACAGATCAATCCAGGCCAGGCCGACCTCCGTACGAGGTAAGTTGAGAACAGAAGAGACACTCGAACTGCCAGGACTCTCCTTCACAGCCTTTTCTTGCGTAAGTACTTCGGGATTGACGTAAATGCTGAGGAGATAGTTATTCTCCCATGGGTCCATGAAATGTTCATCGATCAGAGTACCTGGTGTCACGATGCGCGACACTCGCCTGGTGTACTGTGGTTCTCCCTTCGCCTTTGTCGGTGCATCATTGAGATACTCGTCGCTAATAGCGACATGTTTGCTGAGGTCTTGGACGAGAATCTTCAGATACCTGTCAAGTTGGTATGCAGGGAAGCCTGCCTGACGGTGTCAGTGTCATGACAGGTCGCCGAATTGGACTACTGACCATGGAGACGGCGGGCTTCTTGCTACCCTTCGAAACCTTCCTCTTGGACTTTTTGATATTCAGAAAGGGCGCAAATTCGTCAGCATGCTCGAAGTACAGCTGCAGCCTGCATTAGCTCTCTGGACATGTCGCACGACCTGCATGCTTGCCTCATAGAAACCGCCGACGCGTGTGACTAGCACGCAGTGACTGAACTTGAGCATGTTGTTGCGCACTTGCTGCAGCAGCGGAGGGTATTCCGGTTCGGCGTCATCTTGGGGTGGCAGTACCTCGGCCTCCAAAGGTCCTTGTTGGAGGTCGTCAAGGGTCGCGGCAGATTTCCTCTTTGCACCACGACATTGCGACACCGGAAAGCATCCTTGGCCAACGAACGGTGTTGCACGTGGTTTCGCGATCGGACGCGTCGAGCTTGAGAGTGGGGGTAAGGAAGCAGTACTGCAAACCCTCCGGCTCAGCTGATGTGAAGCTTTTCGGCACGCCAGGTGATGTCGCGTCAGACATCTGGCATGTCTGGACAGCATCCTCGGATGGAATTGGCGTCAGGGAGATGTGGGGATAGCGCGGTGGTAGAGATGCAGGAACGCGTCTCGATGCGGTTAGCGCCCAATCTGCACGCGCGGGGTATCCGGAGCTTGAACAAAGTTACGACGCCGATGTCATTGACGTCCGACATTTACACCATCCACAACAAGATGGCACCCCAATTCGAGCCCATGAAGAATGACCTCATTCTGCGCACAGCACGAGGTCAAGAGCCTTAATCGGTCAGCAACGTACAGCGTATTGACATTCAACAGGCGAAAAGGTCGAGCGCCCACCGATATGGGTGATGCGCCAAGGTAAGATAGATCGTGAGGAAACCTCATCAATGCTGACAGCATATAGCCGGACGTTACCTGCCGGAATACCACGAGGCGAAAGGCAAGAACGACTTCTTTGAATGCTGCCGCAGCCCCGAAATCGCCTCCACTCTCACCCTCCAGCCCATCGAGCGCTACGAAGGCCTCATCGATGCCGCCATCATCTTCTCCGACATCCTCGTTATTCCGCAAGCAATGGGCATGGAGGTCATAATGGTAGACAAGAAAGGTCCGCATTTCCCCGAGCCGCTGCAAACTCCAGAGGACAAGCAGTACAAGGAGGTTCTTGAGAGGAAGGTGGATGTTGCCGAATCGTTGGACTATGTTTACAAGGCCATCACCATGACTAGGCAAAAGCTGGCAGGAAGAGTGCCGCTGATTGGCTTCTGTGGCGCGCCCTGGACATTGCTGTGCTACATGGTCGAAGGCGGTGGCAGCAAGATGTTCATCCAGACCAAGACTTGGATCTACAAGTACCCCGAGGAGAGCAAAGCGCTGCTGCAGAAGATTGCCGAGCTTTGCGTGGAGTACCTGGCTCTTCAAGTTCAGGCTGGTGCACAGGTACGTGGCATTGTCAAAACACATCGGTCCGATGCTGACTATCCCAGATGATCCAAGTCTTCGATTCCTGGGCGGGAGAGCTATCGCCAACCTCCTTCAAGACCTTTGCTCTACCTTACCTCAACTACATTGCCGACAACCTGCCCGCGCGCCTCCAGTCCAAGGGCCTCGAGCCCGTTCCCATGACCGTCTTCGCGAAAGGCGCATGGTACGCCTTGTCGGATCTTTGCGACACCAAGTACAACACCATCGGCCTCGATTGGCTGCATGCGCCGGCGGAGGCATACAAGATTGCGCAGGCAAAGGATAAGGTGCTTCAAGGTAATGCCGACCCGGGTGTTTTGTACGGTACAAAGGAGTCCATCACGAAGGTGGTGGAGGAGATGGTCGCTGGGTTTGGTGGCGGCAAGCAGGGATGGATCGCCAACCTTGGACACGGTAAGTCAAGCCATGGATTACGTAAGACGTCGCATTGTCCTAACAGCTCGCAGGTATCACACCATTCGTTAAGCCAGACGACCTAAAGTTTTACTTTGAAGAGATCCACAGATTAACGAAAGCCTAAGGTCATATTGAGGGTTTGACATAGCTATATAACCCAGCCGAACGAGCTTTCGAAGCACTCCCAGTCTCTGATGATTGTGACCACTCTCATTTGACCGCCGTCACGTGTTGCGCACTGACCTAGATCGCTTGCCTTATCCTCCCCCCGCCGAGTCCTACCCATGACTATCAACAAACCATTGCACATCTTCTCCAAAATCACCCATCCGTACAACGCGACCAATCCAGAGATGTGGCCGATATCCAGCCCCAAGACGTCAGTAGAGCCGTACATCGCATTTGGGCCTCCCCTACTGACACGGAGAATTAGTGAGCAGTCCGAGGTCAACGGCGCTCCGCACGCCATCATCGAGTCACCACTTCTCCGCCTCCCACCCGAGCTTAGGAACGTTATCTTCGCCTACGCACTCGATCACGGGACAGTCTCTCCCCACCTCGGAACGACTTGTCTGGAGCGCAGGTTGAGGAAAGACCCGATCCGTAAGCGCTTCGGTCTGCTATTCACCTGCCGACAGATCTACGCGGAAACTGCTCTCCTCCCATACAAGCTCAACACGTTCAGTGTTCGGGGCTTGATACCCTTATTGGCTCTCGAAAATTTCTTGTGTAGGCGAACTCAGGCTCAAATGCAGGTGATGGACAAGGTGCAGATGGACCATGAAGAAGTGCGGGCGGCGACGGTGTGGATGGAGAAGATTGCCAGTGAGCTTGAGCCGGCTTGGTAGGCAACCTGAGGTTGCGCTACTCCAAGGGTTGGAAATCGATCCGATGAAGCTACGATGAGTGAGCCTAAGTAACTTCGGTGTGATTTCGATGGATGTAGGAAATGCCAGGAGTTACTGTATACCTTCACACCTTACTTTCGGAACTCCAGCCACTCACAACTTGGACATCGATGCCCTCCTCACTACGTGATCAATACATCTCAGCTCATTGCTAGAGCCATGTAGACCTCAAGGGTAATTTCCCGCTTGGCTCGAAGGAGCCCTTTTGAGGAGTCTCCACTCGCTGCCTGGCGTGATGTACGTTACGGGTATAATCACGCTAATCACTCACCCTTATTACCTCCAGTTGAGCTCTCAATCTGTGTCAACTAACGCTGCAGCCAAGCGAATTCCACCGGAATGGCGACTCGCGCACAACGGAAGGAGTGGTTAGAGAAAAGCATGAATCCTTTATGTCAAAGGCCGCTGACGCGAACGCACATGTAAGTTACATTGCAGGATACGATTGGCAGAATTAACACACAGCCTGAAGCTCCGAGCGCAATGCAGCCGCCTCGCCCCTCCTCCGCCTGCCTCCCGAGCTACGAAACTCGATCTTCGCCTACGCCCTCTACCACGAGAGATTCGTTCTCGATCCCCCAGACTCATCTGGTTACGTGGTCAAGTCGCGTGACAAGAATCTACTCAGCCTTCTCTACGTTTGTCGTCAGATCTATTCCGAAACGGCATACCTGCCGTACAAGCTGAACAGCTTCGAGATCTGCCGAGACAGTCCCGTCAGCCTAGTCGCGTTCCTCAAGCGACGGACTGCTACTCAGATAGAGCTCATGCGGGATGTAATTAGGAGATGGAAGTACGTCAAGACGCGTTGGGAGCGCAGATGGCTCTTCTATAGGCGTATGTCTGCGACTGAATGGGTATCATGCTTAAGTACGCGAGGGGATCCGTCCGCCGTCTATTGGCTTGACTGGAAACCTGGATCTTAGCGGGGTTTTCCTGGGGAGAAAGTGCGGTGCTTGGAAGTCTCTCATGGAAGTAAAGGGGTCGTAGTTGCCTCCCCCTGGCGTTATGCTTGGCGCACAGATGTAGTGTGAATATCCACAGTTTCAACTCCCCTCCATCACTCTTTCGTTTTATCTCCAACGTACGCAGCCGCTCAAGTGACCAGAAGACTAGCCACGATTACAGCATGCCGAGTCCAGAGAAGCACTCCGAGGGCGCTAAGTCTGATCCTGCGCCTCACGCCAACCCGATCTTCAACGACATGTAAGTCAATCGTCAACGTCACGAGATCATGAGAACTGACACGTGACAGCGTCGATATCACTCCCGACCGCAGTACCGAGCTTGCGATCGCGTCTCATCCAGCCGCCGCCCGGGACGAAATGTGAGTTCGTCGCGAATAAGACCAAGTAACGGTGACTGACAGAAGACGACAGTTCCAAGCGCAACGCAGACTCCCCTCTCCTTCGCCTCCCCGCTGAACTCCGCAACAACATTTTTGCCCTTGCCCTCACTCAGGGAGATATCAAGTGGAACTACGGCGCCTGGCTCAAGAACAAGAACTCGGTCAACCTTCTCTACGTTTGTCGGCAGACTTATGTGGAGACTTCCCTTCTCCCCTACTCACTGAACACATTTTCATGTATAAAGATCCACACAATCTCCTTGTACAAGTTTCTGAAGTGCCGAACGCCTGCGCAAAGAGCGGCTATGCTAGCAGTGCCACGCGAATATCCGTATAATAGCGGTAGGAAGCTGGTGTTCTCGGCGGCTGAATGGATGGCCATGTGTCAGGCTGGGTTAGAGTGACGTGATGGCTGAATTGGAGATTTGTAATTATGTCCTCCCAGCTACGAGGCATCCTAAGTCTTAAGAGCCATCTAGGGCACAGCAGAGGCTCTGGGTATTTCCAAATAATCGCGAGCTTGCATGTCAATGAGCGGTCCTTTTGTTTGTGTCGAGTAATGCTACTCAAGTTCCTTCACTTCTTGTCACTTCGTACCTAGCGCACTGACCCAAACAGTATATACTCTATTCTGGTTTTACTTCCATTGCCTCATACTCCTCCCCTGATCTCAAATATTCGCCCTTCAGCTCGCCAAATCAGAGTCCGACTCCAGTATGTCGACCTCGAAAACGCAGCGCACCAAGTGTGGGACGACGAACCGCCCGAATGAACGTCGAGACGACATGTTCGTCAAAGCCTTCTCCAATTCAACACTGCCAGCTAACAGGTCTCGCTAGCACCAAGCGCAACGCCACCTCATCCCCACTCCTCCGTCTTCCCCCCGAGATCCGCAACCACATCTTCTCTCTCGCCCTCAATCACGGTTACATCCCGATAATCTTTCCAGAGCGCTCTCATCGTTGGAAGATTAAACGAGCTGAACACCAAGGCTTCGAATATCGCTACCACTACAAACAATTCTGCAACATCTTCTACAACCCCATCAGCTTCTCGGCGAGGTCTTGTTCCTTCAAGCTGAAAAAGCGCCCAGTCCGCAATTCCAAGCGTCTCAACCACCTCAAGCGGCCCGTCAACCTCCTGTTCGTGTGTCGCCAAATCCACGCCGAGACCGCACTGCTTCCGTACAAAGTCAATACATGGGTGATTGAATTGAACAGGCCCTGGGAGAGGATAAGAGAAGGGTATGAGCGGTACTATTGGCATGATCCAATGCACTTCGTCGAGAAATTGACCGCAATCCAGAGGGAGGTCATGGAGAAAGTATGGTCCGTTGACGAGTTTGGAGGCAAACATACGGTATATATGGGGTCTGCGAAAGTATGGATGGAGCGCTGGTTGCCACGGCCGAGATGTTGCGTCCTTGAGAGTATGGAATGTGAGGACACGAGTATGTTTCTGTTACCTTGAGGTGGTGGTTTGGCAAGGTGCAGTGGTCGCGCCTTCTCGCGGGTACAACCGAAATGGGACTAGCTTCGTAGTCACCTTCGGTAGCGCGATGACCAGACATCTGGACCCTTATGGATACTTATATTGGCCCATTCCTCTTCTTTTCCACAACTCTGAACTTCAAGCACCCGTTGGCCAACTTCACGGCAATGGACTGGAACGTTCTAATCGACATGTTGGCGTCAGATGAGCGATATGAGAGAAATCGCGATCGGATGTGAGCTACCTGCGATCACGGAAGAGGATGAATTACACTGACACATTCCTTCAGCACCCAGCGAAACGCCAGATCACCGCTTCTGCGTCTTCCTGCCGAGCTCCGCAACCAGATCTTTGCGCTCGCTCTCACTTGTTCCGAGATCACTATTCACTACAGCCCTGAGCGCGGAGAACTCACTAGCTACACTGGTTGTCCGATGAGACCCTGGAGTCCGCTCGGTCTTATCTACGTGTGTCGGCAGATACACGCAGAGACTGCACTTCTTCCATACGCACTAAATGCATTTTGCATCTATTGTTTGACCGTACGTCCACAGAATGCGAGGAGATTTATTGAGAAGAGGACAGCGGCACAGAGGGCGGTGATGAAGAACGTGCGGAATAATTACATGGGCCGGGAGCACTACACGTCGGCGGAGGAATGGAGGGATTATCAGTGGTAAAGGGGGTTGAGGGAGGGATGGAATGAATGGCTGACTGCGAATTGGTCGCGCTTACGAAAGCGATCGATCCTTCCTCTGTTATTCTAATAATGCCCTAATGAATACCCATGGAGTCGCTTGAAACCCGATTGGTCGACACTAATGTTATGATGCAGAGTATCTTGGCCAAATGCACTTGCCTCGTACGACCTACGCACTAACCGCAACAATACATCTCTGCCATCTTGATTCCTCCCTGCTCATCCATTACCTTTGGTGAACTGTTTCCGCAGCGCCACCACCGACGCTGACTCCGACATGGATCTCGAACAGCAGCCAGAAGAAGCGCGCGCTCAGATGTAGGTCGCAAGATGAGATAACGCTCTCGGGAATGGGTACTAATACATGACTGCAGTACTCAACACAATGCTACCGCCTCTCCGCTTCTTCGTCTCCCCGCAGAGATCCGCAACATGATCTTCGCCTACGCACTCAGTCACGGCGACATCAAGCTGAACGTCATCCCCAGGCTCGTAGACAGTGACAGGCGTAGAAGCTGCTGGAAGCATCGCAACTGGGCCAACCCTATTAACATCAGTCTCCTCTATGCTTGTCGCCAAATTCAACACGAGACCGCGCTACTTCCATACGAGCTCAATGTCTTTGTGATTTGCGGGAACATTTCTGGGGTCAGGGACTTCCTCGAACTCAGGACATCGGCACAGATTGGCGCTATGGCGAGAGTGCGGAGGGAAATGGAGTCAACGACGGGGGTGCGACCCGCGACGGAATGGTTGGAGCTAGTGCTACTTCAAGATTGAAGCGCGGAGATTTGGATGAGACATGAGGACATGAATTCGAGACCACGAATTAATATGGCAGCCATAGGACAGCTCTCGATTCTCGCCTTCACCTGTTCTTTCGAGATCGCCGACTAGCGCGCTGATTAGTCTCAATTATACCCCTCATCACAGGCTTTCCTTCGCTTCAACACTTACCTCCGTACATCCGTTAGTTATCTGCTGACATCCCAACCCCGACTCCCCAGCGCGTTCATTTCCGAGATGCAACCAAAGTACGCCACCATGTACTCCTCCAGGAAGGAGGTGAACAGGAAGCGCGCAACCAAAGAGCTTGCGGAGAACTTGAAAGGCGAGGCCATACAAGAGGGAGAACGGCTGAACAAGATGTAAGTTCACCCCTGAACTGATCACTTCGACGGATACTAACACACTCTGCTTGCAGCACGTATCTCAACACAACAACGTCCCCGCTTCTACGCCTTCCAGGGGAGATTCGCGACATGATATCTTCGTTAGCTCTCACCCAGCATGACTTCTGGGTACTCGATGGAGTTGTCACCAACGTTAAACAGCCAATCAACCTGGTCCGAGTCTGCCGTCAAATCCACGCCGAGACTGCGCTGCTGCCGTACGCTCTCAACAGATTCATCGTCACCAAGCCTTTCTTATCATACCTCGGCCCTATTTATACGAAGATCGGCTCCCTCGAACTGTACTCATTTCTCGAGGCTCGAACACCGGCTCAGATTGGTGTCATGACTAGGGTGCGGTGGAAGCTTGGGTCTACTGAACAGGAGAGGTCTGCGACGGAATGGTTGGAAATCAGGCATCTGTTCTAGGGAACAGCTGAGTCGCATTCTTGAAGCGTGGATATCATGTTGTGAGCTCATTGATCCCACGAAACATGTCTCTTTAGTCATCAATGCCGTCGCACAGGAATGCTCTTTTCCAACCTGACTTCTATGACGAAGCGGTGTAGTGAGAGGGGAACCAGCTTCCATCTCTCACCGTGATTTTTACCTGTCCCTCGTGCTAGTCGACTAGCGCGCTGACGAGCAATTGTATATACCTCTCTTCCCCGCCCTTCCTTCCCTTCTACACTCACCCCTCCGCCTCCGTCAGCTACCTGATACCAATCCCAAGCTCAGCATGTCGCTTCTCAAGGAGCAACAAAAAGATAATAGCCCAAGTATGACCTCTGCCGAAGCGCGACCAGAGGAGCCCAAGAGCGAAGAGGAGCTCAATGCGATGTGAGTTAACTTTTGAAGGGCGTGCCTTGACCAATACTAACGCAACCTTCGTTGAAGCACCTACGTCAACGCAACAACTTCACCTCTCCTCCTCCTCCCGGCAGAACTGCGAAACATGATCTTCGAGTACGCCATGTATCATGAAACCATCAACCTACACCAAAAATACAATAGGTGGACACGCATCAGCGCATCTGAGCCACGCCATAGTGAACCTCTGCTCTTCGTCTGCCGCCAGATTCACCTAGAGGTCGCCATATTACCCTACAAACTTAACGTTTTCTCCATTACTTTCGATCGCTATGCCGATCTCGGCGACTTTCTGAAACAGCGAACGCCAGATCAAGTTGATCTCATGGTCAAAGTGGTGTGCAAGCTCACTAATCACGGCCATCAAGTGCACGTAGCATCTGCTGCTAAATGGATGGCGTTTCTCAAGAAAATGCTGGAGAAGGAGACTTGAAGGGCGGGAGTACATGGTAGCGACGATAGATGCGAGGTGTGTGGTCAGTATGACATCGTCACTGCAGGAGGCGGACACGACAGTCTCTTCATCCGGGGGCATTTTCACACAGTGCGCTTCTCTCTACTACGGAGTTTTCCAAGTTGTCTGTAACAAATCAAATAGTGCAGAAGAAATCCAAAAGACGGCTGCGTTACCTTCACGCACTATTTGCGACTAGCGTACTGATTAGTCAATTATATCCCAGCGTTCTTGTTCCAATGCCCCTTCCCTTCTACAATCACCTCGTAGCCACCACCAGGTAATACATACAGTCGCCTACTACATACATCCACCCACCACTACTACAAACGCGCTTGCACACTACACCTAGGCTCATACATCACACTCGCTGTTCAGTAGCCGATTCTTGAAATCCACGCCAGACTCCTACACACCACCCTACCAGCTACCCGCACACAAGCGACAGCTCCAGCATGTCTGTCTTCACAATGCAGCCAGAAGCCGAAACCAAGATCGCGCACCAAAGTCATCGTTCGGATGAGATGTAAGCCAGTGTCTACCTGAGATGAAGCCACCACGACTGACTGTCATAGCTTCGAGCGTAATGCGACGACCTCACCTCTACTCCTACTACCTGCGGAACTCCGAAACATAACCTACATCCTCGCTATGAGCCATGGGGATATAATAATGGACTTCAACGACGCCGTGTACGGAACCAAGGCAGCAGACCGGAACCGGTGGCCTGACCACCAGGCGGAACCTCAAGCGGAACCTCTGCTCTTCGTCTGCCGCCAGATTTACGCGGAAGTCGCCTTGCTACCTTACAAGCTCAACAGGTTCAAGGTCAGCGGCAATCTCTGTTATGACCTTTACTTCATGCTCGACCGGCGGACTGAGAAGCAGATTGCGCTGATGAAGGAGGTGTGGTGGATGTACGCTGATGATGACGACGAGTGGTGCCGCTCTGGTCTCGATTGGCTGAAGTTTCTTTGCAAGTATGACTACGACGAGGAACTCCGTATGCGTATGCGTGATAGTGAGAGTGAAGATGGGAGCGAGGTTGAGGATGACGATTAATACGATGAGAGGTAGGGTGTAGGCCTGTCATCGCCTCTGCGATGGCCGGCCGTGGCTTCCTCAATCTATCCTGATGATGGGGACCGCCTACTCCGAGAGTCGTTTCTTTCGAATCCGTTACGTAGCAAGGTTAGAGAATTTCGATACAGTTGGAGTTGTTCATCGTGACCTCCAAATGTCCGAAGTATCTACGCTGTGCATTACTTACACTTCCTTGATCAAGCCAAGACAACAATGCATTGCCCTCACCAGCCTGAACAACGTCTCCGATACCTGTTGTTGCTGCGAAGAGACGGTTATGCCCGCCTGCTGCCTTGACGTTGAGCCTGAGGCACCATCTCGGCCCTACTATTGCACAAATTCTCCATGTGGCTGAGGCGAAGCTGCGCGATGGCGCAAGGCAAAAGAAGGGACCCCTTCCGGCACCCGGACCTTCGCCAATCTTCGGCGATAAGAGCCCTGCCTGATCGCCCCTCCGCTGATTGGCTCGGCCAAAAGCGGTCATAGCGTACCTTCATCGAAGCTTCCCAAGCAATGCGCAATGGCAAACGCATGTTCTCACGCCATATGCAGACATTGAGGGAGTGAATATCGGATTTTTGAGCGCCATTCGATTGAGTGGAGCCTGCAGCGTAGTTTGGGCAGGCAGACGAGCGGATTCAGGCAATCTTGGGCTGATGAGGCAGCGTGGAAGGGCATGGAATTGTTTGGAATCTTCTCTCGCTCGGCGCAGCCGGTGCATTTGCAACATCCCGGTTACTACTTTTAAGTCGACAAGCGTTCGCCCTTCCACGCACCCAATATACACTGTGAACACGCACCTTGCCTCCGAGTCAGATACCCGTTCTCTTTACTTCTCGACCGCGAAGAACCCCGCGGCGACTTTAGGTAAGCGCCTTTTTGCTCATTGTGTCAGCACTTCGACGAGTTACCCGCGCCTTCTTTCACCTGCAAGGCTGAGCTGCAACCGGGCGACTACTGCGACTTCTGGCCCCCCGAGACTTGACGCTGACTTGATTTAAGATCTCCCCAACACCGCGACTCGCGCTTTCCACAGATCACCCAGAGACCTTTCTATATTGCCCCTCAACCCGACTTTTACGACCCCGCTAGCCCCTCTTCGACGTTTCCACACGACAACCACGAACCGCGATCATGGTCAAAGACACAAAGTTCTACGATATCCTGGGGGTAAGCACACCCATCTTCACGAATAGCTGAACGTCGGAAGACTAACAACCCACAGGTAGCGCCAGACTGCGCCGAGTCACAACTAAAGACGGCGTACAAGAAGGGAGCGCTCAAGTGGCATCCCGATAAGAACGCCCACAACCCCGAGGCCGCCGACAAGTTCAAGGACCTCTCCCACGCATACGAAGTTCTCTCAGACCCTCAGAAGCGCCAAATATACGACCAATATGGCGAGGAAGGACTCGAGCAAGGCGGCATGGGCGGCGGTGGCGGCATGGCAGCCGAGGACCTATTCGCACAGTTCTTCGGCGGCGGCGGCGGTCCCTTCGGCGGCATGTTTGGCGGCGGCATGGGCGGCGGACGCGAACAAGGACCCAAGAAGGCGCGCACAATCTCGCACGTCCACAAGGTGTCGCTCGAGGATGTCTACCGCGGCAAGGTCTCCAAGCTCGCCCTACAGAAATCCGTCATCTGCCCCAAGTGCCACGGCGCGGGTGGCAAAGACGGTGCCGTCAAGAAGTGCGCTGGCTGCGACGGCCGCGGCATGAAGCACATGATGCGCCAAATGGGACCCATGATCCAGCGCTTCCAAACCGTGTGCCCAGACTGCCAGGGCGAAGGCGAAATCATCCGCGACAAGGACCGCTGCAAGCAGTGCAACGGCAAGAAGACGATAATCGAGCGCAAGGTCCTCCACGTCCACGTCGACCGCGGCGTCAAGTCCGGCCACAAGATCGAGTTCCGAGGCGAGGGCGACCAACTCCCCGGCGTAGAACCCGGCGACGTAGTGTTTGAAATCGAGCAGAAACCACACGCGCGCTTCCAACGCAAAGACGACGACCTCTTCTACCACGCCGAAATCGATCTCCTGACCGCGCTGGCCGGCGGCCAGATCCACATCGAGCACCTCGACGAGCGCTGGTTAACCGTCGACATCATCCCCGGCGAGTGCATCTCCCCCGGCGAAGTCAAGGTCATCCGCGGCCAGGGCATGCCGTCGTACCGCCACCACGACTTTGGCAACTTGTACATCCAGTTCGACGTCAAGTTCCCGGAGCGCCTCGGTAACAACGAGGACGGCGGGCCCATGTCCCCCGAACAGATTCGCGCGCTGGAGTCTGTGCTGCCGCCGCGTAAGGTACCGGAGTCTATGCCGCCGGCTGATGCTATGACGGAGGACTTTACGCTTGAGGATGTTGATGCGGGCGGTGAGGGCCAGCGCGCGAGGGGTATGGGCGGTATGGAGGATGAGGATGATGATATGCATCCGGGGGCTGAGCGCGTGCAGTGTGCGTCTCAGTAAGAGGTGTGTAGCTTCTGTGCTGGAGTAGATGGAGATGGAGTTAGCATGATTTTACGATGCATGAATGCAAAGGAACGAAGTATGAGGGTGTAGAAGGAAGGGAGATGGGGGGCGTGAGAGGAGTTTCTTTCTGCATTGGAGGTTTTCGACAACTGCTAGCCTTTGAGAGATGAGGCTTCTGCGATACCAAAGAGAGTTTGTGTTTTTCCTTCTTTACTTTCTGTAAGCAAAGGCATCATTATAGCTTTGTTGCTTGTTGCCGGCGTTCTCTTAGACAGGGGAGAGCCACGACAATGGCATTTCTTGGTAAACTGTGGGTTTAGTAGTGAGACGATAATGCGATGGTTCTGTGATAACTGTCCATGAGGGGTTTGTAACTATGTGATTGATGTTTTGTAATCTTGCATCGCTCATTATGACATGTAGCGATGAAGTAAGGTTTGTCACCCCTGCACACGCAGAATCTTGGCGAGGGCACGATTACAATTGGATTAGTAACATGTTGCTGATAGAGACGCTTCTTTCTTCAACATCTCTTCTCACATTCTTGCCTAGTCTATACTGTCTTACTAGCCCTTCCTCCACTGCTCAACTCACCCATCTGCCTGTCGTTCTAACACCTCTACCGTCCCCGTCCCCCAAAAACCCCCCACCCCCCCAGAACCTCTCTCTCCCCCCAAAACAACCAACTCCCCTCCTCACCCTCGCCATACTTACCCAGCCCTTCTCTCCTCCCCCTCTCCCCAAGTTCCCCCCACCTCATCAAAAGATTCCCATCAAGCACACCCCTCGCTCCAGTCCCTGCATCCCACCCGCCATCACCCGTCGCCTCGCTGCCCATCCTGAACGCCCTTGGGTTCAAACTGCACGGCGAATCGAGCGTGTTGGCGAGGTAAGCCGTCAAATTAGATAACCGACGATAGGAGTCTTCTGTTAGAGGGGTGAGCAGGGCGAGCGTGCCGGATTGTGTTGTGTGCAGGATTTGGTGGAGAGGTTGGGGTGGGGATGGTGGGGAGGGGGTTGTGGTGTCCATGTCGTCTTCGTCGGCGGTGGGATCGGCGTTAGGCGCGAAAGTATCCGTGGTTGAAGGGAGGGATAGGTGGGATTGGACGAGGTGGAGGGAGGTGGGGAAGTGGCCGGTGTGGAAGGTGGATTTGTGGAGGAGGCGGGAGCCGGCTTCGGATTTGGGGTCTGTGAGGTGGATGTGTTAGTTGACTGTTTGGATGTGTAAGGGTAGGGGTGAGGATGGGAGACGTACTATCTGGATCGAATTGCAGGACTTGCAGATTCATATCTGCGTCTGCGACGATGAGGTGGAGTTGTTGGTCAAAAGGCAGGAAATCCACTGCGATGGTTTCTAAGTTGTGCTTTGAGCGGGAGAAGAGAGACATCTTGTAGGGCTCTTCCTGCTGTGGTGTTAGCATCGGATGGCTCCATCGCTTCCGTCGCAGGAAAACTTACTGTGTACCCCGTGAACCAGACACCCCGGTATGCATCAGCCATAGCCAGCATACCCGTTCCAGGCAAGTTCTTCAAGTCGCTGACGTAGCATTGCATATCCATAAACGCAACGGGAAGCAAGGTGCCGTCTTCCTTGAGACCTCGGACCATGCACTTCTGTCCCTGGGCCATGATCATGAAGCCTTGTGTTCCTAGCCCTGAGATGGCGGATACCGCGCCCTTGACCTCATCCTTGACGATGAGCTTAAGGCGCTTGTTGGTCTCCGGACGATCGGGTTCGGGCACTACGGTGATGACTTCGAAGATACGGATGCAACCCTTAGTTGCGAGGTCTTCGCCATGCACGATCGAAGTGCCGACTGCGATGAGGTCTTTGCGTTGGTGTGTTACTTCGCTGACTTCGAGGTTGAGTGTTTCAATGCAGAGAATGACTTCCTGGGGATCCAGAACATGGGTGTCGATGATGGTCCAGGACTTCTCGTCTAGTAGTTTCAGGACGCCACGCTCAATCTTGGGCTTGAAGCTCATGTCCTCCTTGGGTAGCTCATAGTGGTACGTCTCACTGGGATCCAGTTGGTACTCTTCGAACTGGCCCGTTCCAACAACGTATAACCCAGCCGGGTGGTAGGCAAGGGTGTGCACCTCCGCATCCATTGGCATGCGTCGCGTTGCCCATCCGAGGTGGCCGTAGTGTGTTTGAGGCGGAAGTTGGGAGATACGTAGCGTGTCAGTGGAATCGAGGTATGCGAACCCGCGCTGGCAATTCGATGTGTGAAACGATGTGAGACCTTTGACAGGCTTGCCGCTTAGACCGATCACGCGTGGTGCGCTTGATGACTCTTTGAAGATGAAAGCTGGGGTTGTGCCTCGCTGGAAGACGGTACTGTAGCCGCAGATATCGCTCACCGCTAGCAGTGTACTCTCGAACCCTTGGTCTTCGGAACCTGCATCTTCGATATATCTCGGTATGTGCTGTTGGGAAAGCTTGACCCATCGCAGGTTTTGAGTCCAGAGTTCCGAAGCAGATCGTGATGGAGAATGGAAC